CAGTATGTACATTATTAATTCAATCTGGTCAAACTGATCTCTAATACTTCTGATGTTAATGTGAAACAACATTATCGTATTACTCCTTCTACAACTAAAACAAAAATCCCATTTCTGTTTCAAATGAGCAAATTAAAGCCTTTTTTATTTCTGTTTGATATGTACATTCAAATTCATTCTCCATTTTATTTGAATACTTTATATATATATTTTCACTGCGTATTCTCTGCATTTTAGTCCTTTCTAAATTTCTCATAAAATTGTTTATTCTTTTACCCACACAGATTTGAAATGTGGGTATTAGATGTTAATTTGAGTAAGTTTTACTTTCTTTGAATCTAAATCAATGCTCCTTATAATTTTTATTTAATATCGGCCAGTTATTTTTTAGTACTTTTGACTTAAATTTTAATGTTACATGTTTCATTCTCTCTCTGTTAACAGATGGTTACTTATATAAAGCCTGTATTTTATTAGCACCTTTTTGCAAATTTGATGTACACTTTTTCTTAGCTCTTCACAAAACATTCTGTTTAATTGAATTATTTTCTTAATCCTAGTTTTATTCTTTAGTTCTGTGTATTTCTCTTTCAACTCCTCTATATTTCTAGCAAGTTCTAATGTGGTATTATGGTATTTATACACTCAATCTCAGTTGATGTATATTCAGCTGTTTTATATTTTTCTTAAATTCACTTAAACTTACTACCTCTACAACATCTGAAGACTGAGAATGGTAGGGCTAAGGGACACAAATTTAAATATTAGCAGGTTAGAAGTCATCTTTAGTTATGACAATTTTATTTTTCTAACAAGGTGGTTGGGCTTTGAAAAAGGTTGCCTTCTGATGTGACGAATGCAGTGAACTTAGGGAAATTCAAGAGATGGCTTTATAAATTATTTGAATGACAATGGCTGGTTTTGATTTTCTTTTTCCAAGCTTTGCTTAGTAGAGGGAATGATCTAGCTGGACCAATAAATTCTGTTGTCGTTATACTGGGTTATGTCGTACACAATTATAAATGGAACTCTAAGAGGTAATAATTAAGTAAGAATAACAAAATAACATCAAACTTTAAAATATAACACACTACAATTTGCACACATTACTTAACATGATTTTGTTTTTGTAATTAGATTCAACAACACAAGTGTCCCTGTTGGGTTTAAGCTTGGTCGGGATTTAACTTAAAAATATAAAATAATTATCAAGTCATTCAAGTAGAATAATCATAATGTTTTATCATCCACACTTGATAGATGGGAAAGGAATTAGCATTATTTTGGGATTAAGTACAAATCAACTATCATGTTTTATGAACATGTCCATTAAAAATAAAGCAGGATATGTACTGAACAGGTTTAGGTTTCACCTGTTTAACAAGAGTAAAAAAAAACAATAAGCAGATTTTTATTAAAGATTGTAAGCTAGCTATTTTTGAATATCTCCATCTGTATAATGGTGAATATAAAAAATGTTTGAATATTTCATCAGTTGTCTTGAAATTCTGTATATCTTTTAATGTTTGTCTCTTGCTTCTTCAGAGATATTGCGCTGCAAACCAAAAACGTTAGCCAGTAGTAGTGTTAGTGTTATTCCATCTTTTTAGATCCAAAAGTAGGATGCAACCTACTTTTTCTAAAGAGCAATCCATTTTTAATAAAAAAAAAAATTAAGTTTCATGCTTATTTATTAACCTTGTTTAATTTTTAGGAACCTGTCATTTTGTTGCACTTGTCCTATCAATTCACAAAGTAGTTGAACAATCTTGCTGCAAAGTTTTAGCGTCAGAGCTGCTTAATCAACTTTATGATTCATCTCATTAAATGTTTCGTTTATTTAAAGTCATTATAAAATATATTAGAATCAATGTCTATTCAGCTTAGCCACCACATCCAGAGCATTATCAATGAATTTTCTTTTATAGTGACTTTTTGTAGCAGTATTTATATTGTAATTGGTAAGTTTACTGAATATAACATGCAAATTACTTTGTTCTCTAGTAAATAAATTCTTATGACTATATTACATTAACAAACTATTTTTAAAGAAGTTTACAGAGATAATGATATTTTACCTTACTATCAACTAGCCTTACTTTTCAGTTATTGTTTTTTTTTTTTTTATATTATATACAGGTATGCTGTGAGTAATTCCTTCCCCTGTAAGAGTAGTGTCAAGCTTTTTTTGTTTGTGTACCACAATGTGATGCATACTTTGCTGCCACTTCCTTTCTGTAATATGAAACCTTTCCATAGACCACAGATTAAGAACTACTGCTACATAATGCTGGGGTCCCCAAGATGTTAAACATCAAAATAAACATTTCAGTTTATGTGTGTATTTCCAGAAACAAACCCATCAAATTGCATAATAAAATTTCTCAGACACACATATCACTTTACTGTAAATGTATTTTGTTTCTGTTTATTCTTTAGTTTAGATGAAAACTAGAAATTTTAAAAACATTACATATATATACCTGCACCCACACACAAACATTTTCCCTTAAACACTTTGAAATGGTAATGCCTGGTTATAACATGAATAAATGTAACATCAAATACATCACATTTTATTGTAAATCAAAATACATTTTCCAAAGTAGACTTTCAGAACCTCAAGATAAAACATCTAATGACAGTCACACTGAGAATGAAACTTTACCTTCAAAGACTACTCGGCCCTGTCTGTCACTTGGAAAGGAGATCCTCGATAGACTTAGATTCCAAACAAGCCAGAAATTTTGAAATTTGTTGAATATGGTATATGTTCAACAGGTTTTAACATTTTGGGAGGACAGAGATTACTCAAGTATATGTTGTTTTATTTTGTAGTTTTTGACTTTCAGATATTGAATCATTTTGTGTCAGATATAATTTTTATGCAGTTTAGATTGGTAATAATTATAAATATGTAATAATGTTCCAGTTATGAAATCCCTCAAACATGGTTTTAAATGTAATTGTTCACACAGTAATGCAAAGTTGGTTTAAGAGAGATAAGATCACAAAGAGTATGCACGGGGAGCGGGAGTTCAAATTTGTCCACAGTTCTTGTTCAGTGATGTAATTTCACAAGGTGGGTATATTAAATTTTTAACACAAAGGCACCTTATACAGCATAATTTAATTCATTACTGCTGACCAGAAGGAAAGTGAACCAGTTAGTAGCACCTACCAAATGTGCAACTACAGTTGTCCAAATATCAGGATTGATCATCACAGCTATAACCTCTATACAGTAAAGTGTAGGGCATATTCGGCAATATGTTGCAGCCCCAGTCTTAGACCTACAGCAAATAAAAGAATGCTAACCACCACAAAAAAGTTTAGCTCTCTGCAATTTAATTTGACTTTCAAATTTTTAGGACCCATCTGAATTAAACCCTCTACAATTTAATAACCTATAATTTATATAAAGTTTTCATAAACAAATTTCTTTAACCTTACAAATCAAAAATGGGAAAATTTTGAAAAAAAAAAGATTCTCTTTAAATTATCAAATGTTTAATACACTCATGAAAAGTTTACTTTTCTTACAAGAATTATATGTTGAAATATGTACACATTATTTATGCAAGTTTGTTCATGGTCTTAATTTATTTTCCCACAAAATAATTTCTACAAATATTATGCACTTAATTACATATAAAACATTTTTTGGAATTATAATTACACTGAGAATAAATAAAAGATTTCACTAGTGGAAATACACTTGTACATTTAGCTCATAGTTGTTTTTTTCAAGTACAAACTTTTAGCTCATAGCTCCATCATCTCTTGACCAATTTAAGATTTAATTACTGTTTTGTACTCAGGATGCCAAACCCTTTCAACTGATGTACTTGACCATGCCCAAGGTCTCAGGTTAATTTACTCTAATTCTGCCTTAAGGAATTTCAATTTGAGGGTAGGCTGGTAGAGACCCTGATGAGTAATAAAAAATGAATTGGGTATACACGCATGCCATGCTTGGTATTGCTGGCACATAAAAATATAGCTAATAAAAATGAAAAAGTCTGAAGTTAATTTACTCTAATCCTGCCTAAAAAGAGTTTCGAGTACCACAACTATTGAGGATTCTCTCTTGTTCTTGATGCAACCTTTTCCAACCCAAGTCAAACTATCATGTTAGCAAAAAGGATCAGTTTACATTTAGTTTTGTTTATTTAAATTGTGGTTCAACATATCAAATTTATGTTCACACTTAAATAATGGTTAATAACAAGTACAAAAAAAATAATGCTTTGTATGAGGACAAGATTTAACATTATTAGAGTTGCCAAGTGTATAAAAGATCCATCATATGGAGTTAAACAAAAAATGCATTTACAAATACTCATTATAAAGACTTGCAAATTTTACATTACAGAAGTAGTACTTGTTGAAGTTGACAAAGAACAATCATTTGAGGCTGCTTAATGTACTGTTTCTTCTTTAATTATTAACTTATCTTCCAAATGTACAAACTGATAACTCTACAAAATGCTAGTTTCACTAAAATGAATGATAAATATTGCTTTATAACAATAAGATATCTGTACTCTAGTGCTGGAGAATAGCACATACAGTTCATTCATATCTGTATCAAAGTGACATTTACAGAGGTGTCAGGTAAAACACCAAGCTTGCAAGGAAAGGTAGCTCTGAACTTGAGCACTTCATTATCAGATACTTGGTCAGTCCATTGTGTTAACCAGTTAGTAGTAGCAAAGGTTCAAGTTCTAAATGGTTGTTTAGGGTTAATTATCTACAGCTACATCATGAAATTTTATTTGCTGTTCAGAGAAGTAAAAAAGTTAGCAATGGATTATGAGACATGGTTTTAGATTGCAGATAAAGATAGAAATGTTTTATATGCCAATGATATATTTTTTATTCAAATATTGATCGACAAACTTTATTTTCCATACCTTTTAAAATTATTTTTAAGAGTGATACATTTCAAAATCACCTTTGAGTAATAATATTTTCCAAATAAAAAAAAACGAAACAAATCAGCTGGTAAGATTTATTATAAACGAATCTATCAAAAATACACAATCAAGATTTATTATTTCAGAAAATGATATTATAAAATGAAATTAGCGTAAAATCAAGTCAACATATTGCTTGTTAAGTAACCATCAGTATAATTCACCAGGTTTTGCTTTCTCAGAGCCAGCTGATAATGTATTCACTGTGGAGGAGACTGAAGTCTACTTCCAAACTTTGCCATGTCGCCATTCAGTGGCCACTTTATGTACTTGTCAGACTTCATGTACGACTGGATTGTGGGTAGACCCTAAAAAAAGAAGAACCCTTAATTCTTCTACATTACTATTCAAATACAAGTTTTTTTGTTATTGAGATTTTAATATATATACACACACGTTTGAATAATCAAAAAATCATAAATTATCATTTTGATACCACAGAACTCAATAAATTTATCAATTTTAGTAACAAGGCTGTATTTGGGTAAAAAAATATGAAATTTCAAGCAGACTAAAGACTCAACTTATATCTATGCCAATCTTGTATCAAAAGAAAGATATAACTACTTTATATTTGAAAATGGCTAAGAAAGCTACTAGGAGGACATTCCGAGTTTTTGATTGATTATTCACAAGTCATATACAGAAGTAAACGAATATAAGGGTCTGTTTCCAAAAATAGAAAGAGGTGAGCTAGGCTACTAAGTTTTATTCAGTAATGAGAAATATCTCAACAAAAAGAAAAGATGGGATGTTCTTATTTTATATTCCAGATTGTCAATATCAGTAATTTGAGTTCCTAATCCGTAGAAAACTATAGAATTTGTATTTTGACATCACAAACATCTAATTTGAACCAGTGCTGCATTCAACATACCATGTGACACAAATCAATGTTTAGGTGTTTTTTTATATTTAATTTTAAATTAAGAAATTAACTAATAGATAATTCTAAAATTTGAATTATAATCTACACTTTGATACTAAACTTAATGACAAATACATAAAATAGTAGTTCAATAACATTTTGAATGCAAGCCAACAAAGGCAATGACATGGCCTTTGACCCATGTAGAAAGGGTTAAAGAATCCCTTAAAACTTTTTTGATTATTCTTACCTCAAATCTGTCAAGAAATTCTTTGAGATTTGGAGAGTCTTTGTAACAGTCTGGAGCCAAGATTCTATGCTGATCCAGCATTTCATAGATGATGAAGTCCACATATGACAACTAGAAACATCAAATAAAGCATTTTAATGTCAATCTGTTCATTCTCTTCTGTAGACCTGCTAACTGAACTAAGTGATAGATATGTCATGTGCACACTTAAGAAAATCCCAAAAACACATTTTTGATAAAGTTACCATCTCTAAAACAATACATGAATCTCATTACAAAATCAAATGTCAAACAAAATTCCAAACCAAACCAGACTAATTTCTGTGGATACACTATTATAGCAAATTAAATTGCTTGTGTTAATAAAATTCCAATCACTGGTTAATATATTCAACTAGGAAAGTATAGCAAAGTTAGAAATGACTATTTCATACAATATTCTAATAAAATATAACTTTTGTGCAAACATTTCCTAAAAAAACATACTATTATTTCAACTCAATAAAATAAAGTTTTTTTCTAACTTAACATAAATGCTACATCTTGTTAAGGGCAAGTTAAGTTTCATACCAAGAGCTTTTCAAAAGTAATATTCTATTAAGCAACACAAATGTGTACCTAACACATATTTATCAAACATGTTTATAGACCAAAAGATTTTTCACATTTTTGTACTCAATATTATCTACATTATCTGCAGTGTTTATGCTTTTAAGTATTATTGTTGAATGGGTTTTAAATATCAATAAATTACAAAATTATGTTGTTCCTCAGTATGCAAATAAGTAGTATTAAACCATTCCTTATACAAACAGTGTATCAAGTTTTATTATACTTTATATTCAAGTCATTATCCACCAATATACAAGATTACCACGGTACTGCAAAACTCAACCCAAAACTGAAAGTATACTTTGTGGGTCACCTTGAGTTTGATCAGACCCCTCAACACAAATGTATCCTTATAGTAGTGTATGGATTGAAAATCCAATAAGTAGGTTATTCACAACAATTATCAAACAAGGTATTAGAAGCAGTCATCACAGAGAACATTTGTTGAGGAATGAGATGTGCATACATGCTTATCACAAAGTTATAAACAGATGAGATGATACTGTACTATTTTGGTGAAATATCCTCTACAACAGTCTATATAGTGACGGTCAATAATATTATGGGGGTCCTTGGGGAACCCAGATAAATATTAGGTTATAGCTACATACTCAATCTGCCTGTTTCGAAAACAATAGTGTCATATTGCTCCAGGGTTTTTGCTTGAAAATTATGTGAATTGATATAAATTTGTAACAATTATGTAAAAAGATATATAACTGAGAAAGTCACTGGGGTCCATGTGGACCTCAGGTGTGCTGAAGAGGATTAAACAATGATATTTGTTTTAGATCTGAATAAAAACTTTAAAACTATTTTAAAGCACAATAATGAAGATTTTTAGAAAGTACAACATTTTCACAAAGACTTTAAATACTTAAAATAAAACTATTTAAAAGTAGAACACTAGGATACACAGAAGATTTAATAGCTTAAATACTTAACTTATTAATATAATAATAGTATTGTCAGTAAGTGCACACCAAGAGCTTATTAATAAGTGTAGAAGCGAAAAGGAATACAAAACAGAATAAGCTCATTTCCCATTACAGTTATACCATTTCTTTTCTGAAGGTATAAAAAAAGCCCCAGAATGCTGATGCTATACATACTAGAACTCTGAATTTACTAAATGTATCTCCAAGAAAATTGGATAGCCATTAGTTGAAATTACAAGCCCACAGTACACATGCACTCACACACAAAAAAACAATTTGAATGTTTAATAACATACTAATACTAAAAATTTGTTTATGAACTTCTGAAGCCTTTACTAAAAAAAAAAAAATACTTAATTTTAAGTGCAGCATGATTTTCATGCTAGGAGTAAAAATAACTTATATTAGTTTCATATTTAATCTGTATAACATCTTGAAGTTCTTAAATGGGTAGTTTTTTGGTTAATTTTTTTTTTTTTTTATTTTCTCTACCCTAACACTAACTACAACTAAATCAATGTACATTGAAATTAAAATCTGAAAAATATAAAATAAGATGAACATTACCTTTTATTTTTCTCTTAATGTTTATAATTTGTTGACATTTTCAATTAATGATGTTCATAATTTTAAATGTTAACCTTTTTGCATACACCCACACATGCAAATATATGGTTTTATTGTCTCACTTGCATTTTGTAAAATATTTATTCGTCCATAAACACATTAGCAGAGAAATATATAGCGAAACAGACCATTTAAAACAAAAATTTGTGTACCTTTCAAACATGCATCTTAGAACCACAAAAAACATCAGTCACTAGAACAGAATGTCCACAAAACTACTAAATTTTAATTGGATTTCTAAGTTATAAATAGAGTAAAAAAATTCCACTATGCTATGAGTGACAAGTTTACTTATACATACGATCATTTCCTCTTGAATAACACCGATTGCCACCAAGTTCAAAACGATACTTGCAAGATTTAAATAGATAACAAAGCTCTTTCTAGTAGTTAAAAACTTACACATCAAACAGGAAACCATGGTTTTGAAAAAAGCCTTGAAAGTTAATGATAAATGAGCAGGGCTTTCTCATGAATGGTTTGTTACTACGTACAAAGCTACACAATGGGCTATTTGTACTTTGCCCACCACATGTATTGAAACCTAATTTTTCAGTTATGAGCTGTCAGACTTTGTGTCAAGCCACCAGTGAAGGTTTGTCATGAATTGGAAAATTACACTGATACACCAGTAAATAGAGAAGATATAATGTTCAAATTGTACATCTGACCTTGTGATTAGATATAGCTTATGTTTATATTTGTTACACTGTAAAAGCTATACTATTGAAACATACAAACCAAGAAAAGAAATGAGATTGCATGCACATCATGTGACAGCACAAGTGATGATTGAGAATGTTTTTTTTTCTTTGAAACTTGAAACAGTTCAAAACTTAAATATGAAATTTTGAATTATAAGCTGTTCTGATACAAAGTTTGACAATGATAATAAAGTTATTTATATTTTAAATGTTGCAACATGCACAATCCACTGACATCATATACATAAAGGGTTAAATTCTGGGAGTAAAGAATTTTAAAATTGTTTATCCAATCACACACACACTCCTGATTGAAATTTAAATCACTAGACAAGTACTTCTACATTTCTTAAAATCTAAAGACTGATAAATAAACTCCAAGCTATATATATTTATAGAGCACAGGGACAATGTACAATGGACGTTGCTAATAAAAGTGTACTTTCAGAAGTTGGTAAAACTGAGTCTTTGCTAAGCTTTTAATGTTCTATAAATTATGTGTGTGTGTCAATATATATATTAGAAGATTATATAGATAAACAAAGCTTTTTTATATATATATATATATATATATATATATATATATATAAGGCACACACATTTATTTTTATCAGTTGAAAATGAAATATGTATTGGAACAACTATCTAAATTTGATAAGACTTAGAAATTAGATTCTACTACATTACCTTATCCCCAGCAAACCACTTGTTCTTCCCAAGAAAATCAGAGAACAATTTCAGCTGGTTAGGCAGATCTTTCAAGTAACCATCCTTCAAGTTTTCCTACAAACAAAACAAAAGTTAAATCTTCACTGGAAACACTTCACTGAATCCTTTCCACCCCAGTATCTCTGGTTTTAATAGGAGCAAATTGTTGTTTGAAAAAATTATGTGATGTACCCCTTCAAATTACCTCCAAAATAAAATTATAACTGAAATGTTGAGATTTTTCATTTTCTTTTGATGCCAGTTTTATCACTATTTGTTTTGGAGTACCTGCATAGAGGGCGTGTCAGGGCCAGCATAAAGTTTTACAAATTAGATATTGCCAAGGGCAGTCGAGTGGGGTATATAAAGACTGGAGCAAGTGAACACACTGTTAGATGGCAAAGATGAAGATTGAGAAATAGCTATTAGTGACAGTGGAGGTATGCATGTTTTGGAAACAGGTAACTTTGAGGTTTGTGATGTCAAGAGCTGTAAAATTCAGGTATCTGCACATTTTGTATTACAACTTGCAAGTTTCTGGGGCTGACAAAATTGTAAATGTATCAGCTGAAACTTGGGGTTATTTTATTTCTTGCAGTCTATAATTTCTTTACGATATCTCAAGGTTATGCAGGGCTTATGTCTTGTAAGTTTGTAAAAGATTTCTATATTTTGCAAGTCATGGAAATGTAATAAATTCTTCGACTTACTGTGGTAACAAAGACAAATTCTTTTTGCAATTTTTTAAAATATTTAATTCAATTTAATTAAATTGTTAACATTACAAAAACAAAATGGGTATAAAATTTGTGAGGAGCCCCTTTAAAAGTCAAAATATAAACTAAAATTAAGAGCATTATCAAAATGTATTTAACAGTTAATTACAATTGTTTAAAAAGTTTTATATAACTACTTCCACAACATTTTATTAAAAATTTTTTACATCACAAGAAAATGTTCACACAAAGACAGTATATTAACAATTAGTAACAATAAATACTTTAAAAAGCTGTTGCATACTGTAGTATATACAAAAATTTTAGGTAATATTAACAAAGTTTCAAGGAAATACACATACCAGTTTAACTTCAGTCTCATAGTTATGTGCCACACTTTTGGTACCCGTAGTAACTGCCGGGTTAAGTAGCAATGGAGAGAAAATCATTTACTTTTGAATGTTGTCAGTTAACACACTACTAAGACATTTTCTTAACAAGATCACTTAATTAATCTTAGAATAAAGAACTTACAAAATCAGGATTGTAGGCAAATCTAACAAAACCCATTCTCAAGTCTACCAGCTGTTGTTCCGCCATATCAATCCTGACTTTTTCCTGTTCATTTTCACCATCTGAGGGAAAAAAAATTTTCATCATTCAAATTCTAGATGTAAGATATATAGATTTAAAAACAAGCAATTTACAATTTCATACCATCTTTATATTTATCAAATAAAACCTAGATTCCGCAGGTTCCAAGATAAATTTTTTCCCTAGCAATTTGATCCTAGATTCTTTAATGATTACTGTTAAAGTTCAAAAGTTATTATTTTAAAATTTGCATTTTGTTTGTGTGAAGACATGCAGTAACATACATTACTCACTCATTTTATGCTTCCTTGCCAGATGACGCAAGATAGCCCCACTTTGGCTGATTTTGGTGTCTCCATCAATATAATATGGTAGCTAGAGAAAATATGACATACAACTACAAACTGCATTGAAGTATACATGATATTTAATAATATTCAGCTCAATTTATTATACCATTATAATTTTTCCTTACTGTTTAAAATCAGTTTCATTTTATTGATATAATTTAAGTAAAATACATATATATATAAAAACTTAAGCTGTTATGTCCAAGTTTTCATATGCAAGTTAAAAAATTAAGTGAATATTTATTTTCAAAACAAACATCTTATAAAATCAATTTTAAATGACAATGTACTATATACATGTACAATTTAGCAAAATCTATTTAATTTTGAAAATGAATATTTTACATTGGGAAAGTCTAATCCCAAGGAATGTTTTTCATTCAACCAAGAGCTTCGGTCAAAATCAGGTGGGGGACCATAGTTGTATCTTTTGTCTTCAAACTCCGTTTCATTATAGGCTAGCAGCAGTCGGATTGGCTGAGCCAACTATAGATATAAAAATCGAATATAAACTTGAAATGTCTGAGCATCCTGAGCAAAAGACTATCTGTCATTAAGCTTGAACTTATAATGCAATTATATAAAACAAATATAAAATTCAGTTTATGACAAACCTGACAAGAATCATAAACACACAATATCAATTTACATTTAAGAAATACTTAACAAGTTAAAGCATGTTTGGCAGCAAACAAGTTATAGAACCAGACTATTTCCTTTAACTAAAACAAAATATTATCCTGAAATTGGTCATTACCTTAAACAGCAAAATCATTTTGGAATTGTACGATATGCTTGATACCCCCAAGAGTTAAAGTGGTCTAAAACTACTTAATAAGAAAGAATTGTAATCTACACAAGTGACACTGAACAAAGTGTGGCATGCCCTAAAATTCTACAAGACATGAGCAATCAACAGAAAAATAATCTATAATGAGCACTAAAACAGAAAGAAAGTTTATGTTTAGCCCCTCCCCCCCTTTAAACTCCTTAAAATAACTGCAACTTGTTACAAATAAATGACCTTTTTAATTGTGTATGTACACATTACTTTCATGTTACAGCTCAGGTTATGAAAATAAAATGAAAGTTGAAATGCTTACTATCAGGAGAAAGAACTAGTTGTTATTTTAAAAGAAAGTTTCCAACAGTGTGTTATACATGTTTAATAGTTTTGTATACCCTGCTCCTACTTTCTCTCAAAGTTTTCAAATCCAGGCAGAAGGCAGGCATTTATAGGAAATTACTTAAGAGAACTATGTCACATAGTTCACCTATCAAAAATGTTTAAGTTCACTGTTTTAAATTGATAGAAGTAATCATGGAACTCCAATGTCTGATTAACAAAAAATTATGGTGCAGGCTGTAGGCTTTTAATTTTGTCTTTGATTCCACAAATTATAACAAATATCAAGTTGAATAACTTAGTTTTTGTTTCATTAATACTTGTAGTCATACTCAGTCATAGTCTCATACTGCTACCCTTAACATAAATACTATACTATTTGATAGAGAAATGTAAAGCTGGTATAATAATTATGGCAACAAGATATTTCACATTACTTTCAACTTTTACAACTAAGTATAAGCTTAACTGTCAGTTGTAGTTTATCTTGCTAATTAATTGCAACCTACTGTTTCAAGTGTTTGTTGGCTAGACTTAATCAGTTTCTTACTGATGTAGTTTTTCTTTGCAATTCTTAAAAGTTACATCAATGGCATTACACTTAGTAATATAATAACTGGTAGAGCTAGTGGTACTAACAGTAATAACAACATTAATATACGAAACAGAGAAAAATGTAACAGTAACAGTGAATGGTTCAAATGAAGTAATTTAACTTACTAAATTAGTAAGTAACACTAGTATTACTACTACTAGTAGTAACAATTACAACACAAGCCTTAAAATTCTACCAATTTTTTCTTAAAATTGTTTACTTAATTTAATAAACATCACAAAGGCATTATGATATAAAAAATCATATAATGATACTAAATTTCAATACAATTTCAAAAACAGAAGTTACTTAAGTTAAAAGGTTAAAATTAAATACGAAACTTCACAAAGAGCCTCGAAATTGAAAGTATAGGTGTACATAGTCTTAACTAATACTAATACTATTAGTCTCTATTGCTATATATCAGTATATGACATTATTCATTTATTACTTGACAGTCAAATACTTAAATATCAGTTACAATAATTACTTTCTCAAAATGATAATTTAAGCTTAATAATTCTTACCCCCCGAATGTTCCAATAACCCAAAGTAGGTTTTGCGGACATTGTTAATGATTTTAACAGCAAGTTAAACACCAATCCCTCGAACAAGAGTTACAAGAAAGAGTAGACGCCGCGCGTTTTGTCTATTATAACTAGATTCACTGTAATGTAGATGACGCTGCAATCGATATTTGAAAAATTATATTCATAAATTAAGTGAATTAAAAACCTTATAGAATATAAATTTGTGGTCGTTCTTACTCACATTAAAAGAAAAAAAATTATAGTTGAAATTTATTCAGGAAAAGGTTTTATTTATCTAATTTTATACATAAAAATATAATTACAAATTATGATTTTGGGTTAATTTCAGCGCGCTCCGAATGAAATCATTACTGTTTGTGAAATTCCAAAATGTTTCTGTGCATAATACAACACTGGTAGAACCCTACGAGGAAATAGTTTTAAACAAAATGCTCTCATTTTACCTTATAACTTGTAAACAAGTGTAATTTTATTAATTTTTATCGAATCACTGTTTCCCAACCTTGGTTTTCAAAGTGGGTGCAATTTTCTAAGTTTCAGGTTCGAGAAGTCATAAGATAGTGATATAAAAATGTAATGAAAGTTCTTTTTTTTCTGTCCTTTTCATGTGCAAAAGCCGGTTTGGCTTCTATATACAAAATTTCTAACAAACGGCTTACATAAACAGTGTTCCAATCACCACTGTGTTTGTTGTGTCCCAGATAGCCTGATAAGCTCTGGATTGAGCGAAGCGCGTCGTCGGCAATGGAAATGAAGAACATAGTGTGGTTGAAATACTATTATCATACACCCTTCTAATTCTTGAAAATTCCTAAAGAACTACATAAAAAATGTAGTGTTAGAAAATATAATACTGTTTCGTCTCCGTTTGTTAATTAATTTTCCGTAACCTCGTTCCCACGAAACTTTAGCGACACAAGTCCTTTCTTAAATAAAACTGGTTTATTCTTTTTGAATATAACTTTACCGATACACTTATTTTCAAGAGTCGCGCTAAAACAAACGCGTTAACTTCAACAATACTCTCTGACTGCAATTCAATTACTCACTATCTACATACATTATCCCGTCACGTTGTGAGCGTCTTATATACACAGCGTGGTCACAAGTAAATGGGCACCACTTTTTCAGAAAAAAAATGAAATTTTTCAGTCATATTCACAT